GCAAGCCTGAATTCAACTTCAGCGGTCGGTCGCATCACGCATCGAAATGAACAAGGTCCCGGCGCTTGGGATCGGTCCTGTTGCTCTCATATACGATGCGCCATACAAGCGCATTGTACGAGCTCATCTCCCCCCAGCCTTTCTGCCTGACATACTTACGCATGGCGTCGAAAACTTCGACTGTCGTTGCCCGACGATGGCTGATGCGCTTGTCCTGGAGGAACAGCTGCCTCACATAACTGTCTGCGGGGGGCAACTGCCACATAGCCGACGAATTACTTGCAAGGAACGCTAGCCGAAACTTGGCTTGCACGTCTTCGACGGTGTCGCTCTCGCACGGTAGAGTGCCCAGGTCACGCAAATTGTACTTGTTTTCGGTTCCATTTGCAAAAACCAACAATGCTTCTCGCATGTCCTTGTTGAACTGCTCATCCAAGAAGCCCAGCTTCCTCAAGACCGTCGCTGCCAGTGTCGAGGAGTCTTCGAAAATGCAGGGCCCTCCACCGCGAAATATGCAGCATGCAAAGTTGGAGCCAAATTTCCGTATCTGGGCAGCACTTGATTTGCCTCGTTTCCCCACGGGCAAAATCACAGACAGCTTGCGTTCACACGGTACCCAGGCCCTCGTTGCATTGTTCACCAATTCCTGATGTACCTGCTTCAAAGCAAGACCCGTCGGAAACAGCACCAAGGACCCACGACCATTCTCGTACCAAAATTTGGCCATAGGATTCAACATAAAGCCACTGTGCTGGTCTTCCGTGCAGTATTCCAGTTCGACCAGCTTGTTTTTGACAACCTGATGCTCTTCTGGGCAATGCAGTCGCGCTACCGGGGCGCAGAAATTTACACTGCCCTTCCCTCCTGGAAGTAGGACAGCTTTGACTCGTGTGACGTTTGGCCTGTCGGCTTTGACGACGTGCACGTCTGCATGCGCTTTCCGGTACAGGTCCCCAACATGGATTCGTGCGGCGGGCACAACCACAAGCACTTGCTTTCCACTGGCACCGGCGCGGCGCACGAGAGGTACGAAGTCTCTATCCGAAGTCAAAAGCGCAATTCGTGATGCCGTGCCTGCAATGAAGCCTTCCAAATGGTCAATGATGGCTGAATCACCTGGCTTTCCGGCACCTGCACGTGTAACGGGATGGAAAACCACTCGCTCATCTGTCAAGAGTTCTTGCCATGTCTTCTTCTTGATCGTCTCGGGCGCTGCAAAGATCAAAGTCTCCATAGCCTTGCAGCTTGAAGCAACATGTTGCATGCCTCTCCTGATTTCATCAACGCTGTGCGTGTCTGCATCCACGAGCAGTCGGATGGTATTTGCCACAGATTTTCGACCTTCTATCCCAGAAACACCAGCAAAAACCCTTCCTTTGGCGACACGTCTGGGTCGGTTCACTGCCAGACTGCCTGCAAAGCAGGCCAAGGAAAGACCCGCACCCTTCTGGCCGGCAAGACCTCACGAGCATTTTTGAGGACCCCAAATGGGTAATTGTCAAAATTATGGTCCCATTTGGGGTACCCTAAATAATAGGTGCCGTATTATAAGAAGGACCCAAAAAGGGACCATAATTTTGACAACCACCCACAAGCAGAAACCCCAACAGCCGAAGACATGATCCTGAAGTGAAGGGTTTCTGAGTCTCT